GAAAGAGTGAGCCCCACTCAGGCCAGTCTCAGCAAGGGGATAGGCCTCTCCCTCTGCACCTCTCCACAGCAGCCGGTTCCGGCACCCGCCCGGGATCTCAGCGTTGCATCAGTCCCCCCCTCCCCAGCAGCACCAGTTCTAGATCTGGAGGTTAATGAAAGGGGCGAAGCCAACCACGTCCTGCAGGAGAACAAGAGCCCTCTGCAGTGGAGGTTCCACATCCAGCTCCACCCCACGGCTTCGGAGGATGCTCAGGCTGGACTCAGTCACGTTGTGACAATGCTTCACCTTCAGTGAGCGCAGCTTGGGACAGTACTCAGCCAGGACCCTGTCAAGAAAGAGCATATGCAGGTTGCAAGCCAGGACCCCTGAGTGCACCACTCACCCTCTTCTCTACTCCCAGCAGCCCAGTGCAGCCAAACATGTTCCATCCTTTGGGAGCAGCACTCTAGGGTCTGAGAGAAACTCGAGGGATATGGTCAGATCCCCGACCTACCCTCCATGGCATAGTGCAAAATTTGCTGTTAGTAGCACACGGTGCCTTTCCTGAAGGGCCTGCTAGTGGCTTTTCCTAAAGAATGAGCTCTCATTGCTTTCAGCATGAAAAAAACCCCACTTTTCTGTCTCGTTCTATTCCTCTCCCCAACACAACTCCCCACGTTGTTCAGTACCTGATGGAGTCATTCTTGACTCGCAGACATCCCGTGAGGTCCAGGTGCTCCAGCTCAGGGCAGCACTTGGCAATCTCCTCCACCGCCGCGTCACCCACGTTAGCGTTGACAGCCAGTGACAGAGACTTGAGCCTGCTGCACTTCTGCACCAGGTAGCAGATGGCCTCGTCCTTCAGCTGGCGACAGGCTGTCAGGTCCAGGGCCTCCAGAGCCTTGCAGTGGTCAGCCAGGCTGCGCAGGGACAGGCTGTCCACCCACTCGCAGTGGGCCAGGGAGAGCCGGCGCAGGTTGGGGCAGCTCAGCGAGATGGCCACCAGCGCGTGGCGGCTGAGCTGGGCACAGCCCTTCAGCTGGATCTGGTGCAGGTGGTGATTCTGCCCGATGACCGGGAGCAGCTCCCTGTCGGTCAGCCAGTCAGAGCAGTTCTGGAGTGCCAGCTGCTGCAGTACTTCATTGTCCTTCAGCAGGTTAACAAAAGCAGCTCGAGGGATGGCAGGTCCGATCTGCATGAGGAACCCAAGAAGAATGAAGAATCCCCCAGGCTTTCAGATCAGCCTGATCCTTACCAGACACTCTCCCCTCCTCTCCTCCACTGTGACAAAGGTGACCAAAACCACCCTCTCTCCTCATCCCAGGGCAAACCCCACTGTGTCAGGTTCTCCTCCCCTCATGCCAAGGCTAGTGCCACAAGCTAAAAGATGCCCTGGTTTCTCCATCCCCCATCATCACCCCTGTATCTATATACTTGTGATGAGCTCCACACCCCTGCTCTCCAAAAACTCTGTTAGACCACTCAGTTTTCCCCATGTCCCAGGCAGTGTATCCCAGGGTGGGCACAAGCTTTCTCTGAAGACCAAGTACAGAGTTATCTCCTATCAGACCTACCCTATTGTACAAACTCTGTAAGGACAGACAGGCTGTGCCACTCAGGAGCTGGCTTTCGTTTCTACCAGCCAGTGCCCCATAATGGTCTGGGTGGAGCTTCAAGGCTCACTCCTCCCAAGGCCTGTTGCTACAGTCACAGGCATTGCTGGGCCCTGAATCACTGCCTCTCCTCTCTTAGCCCATCTGTCCAGTCTGACACCAGAGCTATTAACCTGAGCAGAAACCAGTCCCCTTGCCAGGGCAGTCTTCTCCCTACACAGTCAGAAGTTCCCATGTTAGCTCCAAAGCTATAGGTAACCTGTCTCCCCCAGCCTCAGAACCATCCAATACCTGGCTTGAGTCAAAGCAGCGCATGTTGGCCAGGTACAGCTGGATGAGAGACTGGAATGACTTGCTGACCCTCTGCAGACTCAGGAGCTGCTGCAGTGGCAGATGACAGAGAATATGTGGAACCAAGATGTCTTCCCAGGGCAGGTCCAGGAGGCATCCCCTGGAGGGGGTCAAACTCATCATCATATGCCAGGGAGCCAGGCTACGGTGAAAGCCAGGCTGTATCACCTCACACGTCCTGCTGGGTGCCTCTAGGAGGAACAGCCAGAAAGAGAGACTCAGCAACGTCTCCCACTGACAGCCCACAGGCTAAAAACCCCTTGGCTGCCCATCAGCAAGGCAGGCACCTGCGTCACCTCCTCCCCAGCCCGGCACGTTCACTGCTGAGGCATCCGAGCCCACCTGCCCGCCCTGCTCTCCAGGAGGGCTCGCGTGGGGCTCCCCACGAGCTGCTCCAGGAGTCGCCGTCCCTCGGCGGAGCAGCGAGCGCTGCAGCCCC